TACTCAGGAGGCTGAGGCGGGAGAATCGCTTGAACCCAGGAGGCGGAGGTTCCAGTGAGCCGAGATCGCACCATTGCACTCCAGCCTGGGTAACAAGAGCGAGACTCCGTCTCAATAAATAAATAAATAAATTTTAAAAAGCAAGGATTTCATAAAACACAAATGCATGGTGCAAGGGCAGGATTAAAACAAGGAAACAAACATGCAAGGTCATTCTTTGTGTTACCCTGAGCTCCTCTAGTCACGTGTAAACGCAGAGGGCAACGCATTCGTCCAAACCGCAGAAGAGGTTTTGGAACAGGTATTCCTCCTGTTCTGCGGAATACAAGGGACACTGTTTCTATATAAAAACGCTAGTTCTGGTCACTCCCCATCCTCCTCGCCTTCAAGATAAGAGAATCAGAATGACCCTCCTTTCTCGACAACATCAAACCCAGAGAAAAACCCCCGTTCTTATTTGTTAAAACTGCAGCAAAATAGGCATAACATACAACTTACCATCCTAATATTTAATTAATTAACTAACTTTTATGTTTTTAGAGACAGCATCTCTCTGTGTCCCCCAACCTGGAGTGCTGTGGTGCGATCTCGGCTCACTGCAACCTCTGCCTCCTGGGTTCAAGTGATTCTCCTGCCTCAGCCTCCTGAGTAGCTGGGATTACGGGTGCCTGCCACCATGCCTGGATCATTTTTGTATTTTTAGTAGAGATGGAGTTTCACCATGTTGCCTAGGTTGGTCTGGAACTCCTGGGCTCAAGCAATCCACCTGCCTCAGCCTCCCAAAGTGCTGGGATTACAGGCATGAGCCACTGCACCAAGCCCCAAACTGAAACTTTGTCCCTATCCAACATTAAACTCCTTCTCCCTTTCCCAGCCTTGGGAACTCCAGCTTATTTTCTGTCCCTATGAATTTGTCTATTTTAGATGTTTCTTGGGAGTGGAACCACAAAATATTTGTCCTGGCTTATTTCATTTAGCGTACTTTCTAGCTTTGTGGAGGTTGTAGCCTGTGTTAGAATGTCCTTCTTTTTTTTTTTTTTTTTTTGAGGCGGAGTTTCGCTCTCGTTACCCAGGCTGGAGTGCAATGGCGCGATCTCGGCTCACCGCAACCTCCGCCTCCTGGGTTCAGGCAATTCTCCTGCCTCAGCCTCCTGAGTAGTTGGGATTACAGGCACGCGCCACCATGCCCAGCTAATTTTTCGTATTTTTAGTAGAGACGGGGTTTCACCATGTTGACCAGGATGGTCTCGATCTCTTGACCTCGTGATCCACCCGCCTCGGCCTCCCAAAGTGCTGGGATTACAGGCTTGAGCCACCGCGCCCGGCCTAGAATGTCCTTCTTAAGGCTGAAGAATGTTCCAGTACATGGAGAGACCACGTTTTGTCCATTCCTTTGATAGACATTTGGGTTGTTTTAGCCTCTTGGCTATTGTAAAAGATGCTGCCATGAACATTAGCGCACAAATATTTGTTCACTTCCCTGATTTGAATTCCTTCCTTCCTTTTTTTTTTTTTTTTTTTTTCGGAGACAGAGTCTGGCTCTGTCACTGAGGCTGGGAATGCAGTGGCGCAATCTCAGCTCACCGTAACCTTTGCCTGCTGGGTTCAAGCAATTCTCCTGCCTCAACCTCCCAGGTAGCTGGGAATACAGGCGCCTGCCACCACACCTGGTTAATGTTTGTATTTTTAGTAGAGATGGGGTTTCACTATTTTGGTCAGGCTGGTCTCAAACTCCTGACCTCATGATCTGCCCACCTCGGCCTCCCAGAGTGCTGGGAATTACAGGCTTGAACCACTGCGCCCAGCCCCCTCGTCTTCATCTTTGCCAATCGAATATGGAGAGTTTTACATTTAATTTCTTTTAGAAATTATAGAGAGGGGGACCATCTACTCACATGTTACAGACCAAGAAAACTGCTGGATCGTTCCGGCTGACAGCAGGGCCATCACCTGCCTTGGTGAATAATGTGCTCCCAGCCACCTAAGAGTGTAACTAAATGTGCAGCGATGGCCAAATGTTTCCAGAAAGGAAGCAGCATATAGAGCCGGCGATGGAAACAGGCCGCTCTGAGATACTAAGCAACCATTTAAGAGAGTGCAGCAAAATTGCTAAACATACCATTTATTTGTTTTAAGATTTGTTTATTTATGCTGGGCGCGGTGGCGCGTGCCTGCAGTCCCAGCTACTCAGAAGGCTGAGGCTGGAGGATCGCTTGAGTCCAGGAGTTCTGGGCTGCCGTGCGCTGTGCTGATCGGGTGTCCGTATCAAGTTCAGCATCAATATGGTGACCTCCCGGGAGTGGGGGACCACCAGGTTGCCTAAGGAGGGGTGAACCGGCCCGGGTATGAAACAGAGCAGGTCAAAACTCCTGTGCTGAGCAGTAGTGGGATCACGCCTGTGGATAGCCACTGCACTCCAGCCTTTGGGACGTAGTGAGACCCCCATCTCTAAAAATAAATAAATAAATTTATTTATTTATGTTCGAGACAGGGTCTTGGCCCCGTCACCCAGGCTGGAGTGCAGTGGTTTGATCATGGCTCACTGCAGCCTCGAATTCCTGGGCTCAAGCGATCCTCCTGCCTCAGCCTCCCAAGTAGCTGGGACTACAGGGACATACCATCGCTCCTTTCGAGGCTGGGCGTGGTGGCAGATGCCTGTAATCCCAGCACTTTGGGAGGCTGAGGCAGGTGTATCATGAGGTCAGGAGTTCAACACCAGCTTGGCCAATGTGGTGAAACCCCATCTCTACTAAAAATACAAAAAAATCGGCCAGGCGTGTGACGGGATCCTGTAATCCCAGCTACTCGGGAGGCTGAGGCAGAGAGTTGCTAAAATCCAGGAGGCAGAGATTGCAGTGAGCCGAGCCTGTGCCACTGCAGTCCAGCCTGGGCGACAGAGTGAGACTCCGTCACAAACAAACAAACAAACAAACAAACTGTATATATATATATATATATATATATATATATATATATATATATATGTATATACACATACATTGTAGAGATGAGATCTCGCTGTTTACCCAGGCTGGTCTTGAACTTCTGGCCTTGAGTGATCCTCCTGCCTTGGCTCCCAAAGCCCTGGGATTCCATGCATGAGCCAACACGCCCAGCCACTATTTGTTTCGTTTCAGTTTCTATTTGATTCCCTATTTAATGTTCATCTTCCATTGGTTATAATAAAAGTTCCCTGAGGAATGAACACAGTAATCCTGTTCTCTTTGATCCGAGAGGCCCCAACAGGCTCTGTTATAAACGCGGGGTCCAGTCTGATGGTTACACGCAGGTCTATGCAGCTCGGAGACGCTGCGCTCATGTGAACCCGGCTCATGAGACCGAGGTATAAACTGGAATAAACCAGCACTGAGGTCCTTTGCTCAGCAGGAGAAACCATCAGAGGTCTATGTGAATGCCCATCCGATCTTCATCCCACGAGCAAATCCAGTACAGAAGCCAACCCATATTGGCAGGGCCAAGTGTACTGAGCTCTCCTGACACCCAGGCACCTGGGGACAATTTTTGGAATGGATAGTCGTGGCCAGAGTGGCCTCGAGGGACCAAAGAGGAGGCTGTGGGGTCATCCAGGAGGGAGGGATGGTGGCGGGACGAGGCGGGCAGCCTGGGAGCCCAGAGAGTGGGTAGTGGTCCTGGCAATGGTCCTGTGGGGCCCCGGCCCTGGGGAGGAATGAGGATGACTCCTGGGGGCTGGCTGGCTGGTGGTGCCTCTCCTGAGATGGGGACCCCAACCACGGGTCATGATGCTGATTCCCTCGACCCCGTGTGGAATGCCCTCTCGCCAGGGCTAGGGCGCGTGAGGGTAAAACCAAGGTGCTGTTGGGCACTGAGGTTCTCCAGCTCCCAGCACAGCTCAGCAGGCAGTACCCGATCAGTGATGAAAAATTAATCCAGCCAGGTGTGGTGGCTCATGCCTGTAATCCCAGCATGCTGGGAGGCCGAGGCGGGTGGGTCACAAGGTCAGGAGTTCAAGACCAGCTGGCCAACCTGGTGAAACCCCCATCCCTACTAAAAATACAAAAAAATTATCCCCGTGTGGTGGAGGGCACCTGGAATCCCAGCTACTCACAAAAGAGCAAGACTCCATCTCAAAAGAAAAAGAAAAATTAATCAGTCATTCAACTCCTTCAGGAGGCGGGACTGCAGGGCAGGGTGGGAAGGGAGGGTCCCAGCAGGGCGGGGCAGGGCAGGGTGGGCACAGCATAAAAGTGATTTAACAGCCAGACTTGTGTCACTGCACACTTGTGTTTGAGAACAGAGCAGGACTCAGGATGCAAGACCCTAGGGATCCCCAAGGTGAGCCGGGACAGCGCTGTGAGGGGCCTGGGCCCATCCCGTGTCAGAGGCTGCAGAGTGCAGATCTGGCATCCAGAGAAGGGCTGGGGCTGTGCAGGCGGCTTCCTGCCCTGCAGATGGGGGAGGACTTTGTGGCCTTTGGGAAATGGAATCAAATGGTGCAGCTGGGAGCATCGGCTCACGCCGGTGACCTCAGCTCTTTAGGAGGCCAAGGCGGGAGGATCACTTGAGCCCAGGATTCTGAAACCAGCCTGGCCAACAGAGTGAGACCTGTCTCTACCAAAAATACAAAAATTACCCAGGGGTGGTGGTGCACACCCGTGGTCCCAGCTACTCAGGAGACTGAGGCCGGGGATTGCTTGAGCCCAGGAGATGGAGGCTGCCTTGACCCGTGGTCACGTCACTGCACTCCAGCCTGGGTGACAGCAAGATCCCCTCTCCAGGAAAAAGACCGAAGGAAAGAAATTAAATCGTGCAACTGAGTGGAGCAGAGGATGGTGCAGGTGGCGATGGCCTGCGGGTGTCAGGGTCCCTAGAGCCCTTGGGTAGGAGGGGAGGGACAGCTGGGGAGGTCTGAGCAGGCCGGAGGCTGCCCCGTCTGCTCCGGGTGAGGCGCCCAGGCTGCCTGCCTTTCCCTCTGTGGGGTCCCGAATAATACAGGGGCTGTTATCATGCCCATTGCCAAGATGTGGACCCTGAGGCCCGGCGAGGTGCGAGGTCTGGTCCGGACCTCAGGCTGCTATCCCGGCGCCGCCCCAGCCAGACGGCCTGGGCTCCTCGCCTGGCGCAGGGGACCGAGTTTCTGGGGGAGCTGGGGAGGCTGCCTGGGGGCTTCTCTGACCCTGTTTCCCTCCCATCCCCAGGACCTCCCCCGGCCCAGGGCCTGAACCAAAACCCTCCGAGGAGACAGCGGCAGGAGCGCACGGTCTACACTCGCAGCCAGCAGGAAGAGCTGGAAGCTTGCTTTCGGGAAAAGCAGTACCTGAGCTTTGACGAGCGACAGGAGCTGGCGCAGAAACTCAACCTCAGGGAGCACCAGCTGCAGGTCTGACCCTGCCCCGCCCCGCCCCCGTCACCCCACGAAGCCTCCCCACCGCTGTCACTGGGGCCTGGCACACCCGGCCACCTCCCGCCCTGCTACGCCAGGGGTTACACCAGTGTAGACCAGGGCTGCACCCAGAGTCCTGCTCCAACTCCGTGCGCGCCCAAACCCACCCATGCGATCAGCCCAGGCTGTGTCCCACGGGGTCTCCCGGTGTCCAGACCTCAGACCCCCTGAGAACCCCCAGGGTCCCGGCCCTTGAACCCTCCTTGGCCCCGGGCTCCTGGGCTGCACTCCCTGCTCCTCCCCTCCCACCCCTCGTGCCACCCCCTCCTTTTCTCTCTCTCTCCCCTCCCTTCTCCAGGCCTTGGAGCCCCGGGTAAGGTGGGAGGTGGGGGGCAGGGGGTTGAGGAGTTGGGAGCTTTGAAGGGGGTTTGGGGATTAAGGGGCGATGGGGAGGTGAGCGCAGGGCGAGCCTTGAGGCTGGCCATTCCCCCCCTCCCCCCCGCCCCCAGCGGCTCACCGGGGCCCAGGCGGTGCTCTCCTTCACACCTCCTCCCTGTCCCCTCTCCCTCTAGGTGTGGTTCAAGAATCGACGCGCCAAACTAGCCCGGGAGCAGCTCAAGAAGCATCCCCAGAGCGGCCCACGGCGGAGAGGCCGAGGCCGCGGAGCCCGGGCTGCACCCCCAGTCCCTGCAGCAGCTGCCTCCGCCCCTGGGGGGCCTCAGTTCCCGCAGGGCTGGGGTTCCTGGATGTCCCCTCAGCCGGGCCCCTCGGGAATCCTCCCAGCAGCAAAACCCACGACCTACAGCCTCCACCAGGCCTGGGGGGGTCCTGAGGGCGGTGCACACGGTGGCTTCCTGGCTGCCCTGGGTCCAGGCCCCGGCCCGACCCCAGCCCCATTCCCTGGCCCAGCCCAGGTGCCAGGCCCGCACCCAGGCCCAACTTTAGGCCCATTCTCAGGGTCCATGCTAGGCCCAGGCTCCAACCCAAGGCCAGTCCCAGGTCCAGTTTCAGGCCCTGGCCCAATCCCAGAGCCAGTCCTAGGCGGATGCTTGATGCCACCAGGTCCAGCCTCACTCCCAGCCCCGACTCCAGACTCCATGTGGCCTCAGAGCCCCTATGCCTCCAGCTTCTGGCCAGACACTCACTTTTTCTCTGACTTGCCGGAGCTGTTAGCACCCCTAGACCCCTTCCAGGAATCCTCAGTCTCCACCGAGATGTCTCAGTATGAAGAGAAGGATGGCTCTGTGGACATAAATCCCTCATTGCCCCCAGGGTTTCTGGATTTATAGGGGGCCTGTGCCTGCAAGGCCTTCAGATTCCAGTGGGTCTGGAGTGACTGGTCCACTGCTGGTGACTTTCTACAGTGAATGCACCACCCTTTACCCACCCGGCTGCAGGTGGGCATTTGCTGTCTTCACTGTGTGGCCATCTCAGGTAGCTCTGCTGTGAGTGTCCCTGCCTCTCGTTTCAGTTGAGCCTGAGCATGTCTCTGCTGGGACTGGAGTGGCTGCTCACTGGGATGTCTGGCACTAGTGGACGCTGCTTGAGAGCTTTGTAAAGGGCTTTCCCCTGCACTCCTGGTGGTCCACATCTTCTCCAACACTGAGGATTGTGAGACTTTTTTTTTTTTTTTTTTTTGAGACGGAGTCTCGCTCTTGTTACCCAGGCTGGAGTGCAATGGCGCGATCTCGGCTCACTGCAGCCTCCGCCTCCTGGGTTCAGGCAATCCTCCTGCCTCAGCCTCCTGAGTAGCTGGGATTACAGGCACGCGTCACCATGCCCAGCTAGTTTTTTGTATTTTTAGTAGAGACGGGGTTTCACCAGGTTGACCAGGATGGTCTCGATCTCTCGACCTCATGATCCACCCGCCTCGGCCTCCCAAAGTGCTGGGAATATTTGTCCATCCAATGACTTACGGCTTTCTTGCAGTTGTAATATCCATTTACCTGATGATTGAGAGGTTGAGAAATTCTCATGGGCATCAGGAATCTTCAAAAAGTGAATGTTTGAAAAAACATGTTTTTCTTATTTTTTTAAAATAGTGACTATTCATGGTCTTTTGGGACCATTTTTTGTAGTTGATTTCTTTACAAATTTTTTTTTTTTTTTTGACTCAGAGTCTCGCTCTGTCAGCCAGGGTATAGTGCAGCAGCACAAACTTGGCTCACTGCAACCTCCGCCTCCCAGGTTCAAGTGATTCATTCTCCTGCCTCCACCTCCCAAAGTGTTGAGATTACAGGCTCCAGCCACTGTGCCTGGCCAAAATGTTATTTAACCACAGAGATCTTGCATGCATCTTTCTGTAGATTTATTTCTTGTACTTCATTTTCATTATTGTCTGATATTTTACATGGTATTTCTTATTGTTAAAATATTTTGTCTGATATTTTACATGGTATTTCTTATTACGTGGTATTTCAGTATTTTACATTATTGTCTGATATTTTACATCGTATTTCTTATTGTTAAAAAACACATTTGTCTTGTACAGAGGATTCAGTTGATCTGTTTATTTTGTTTCTGGGAATCTCACTCAATTCTTTTGAATTCTAATAAATTATCTGGACGTTGTAAATTTTGAAAATGAATGTAGTTCCTGGTTACCCCGTGGACGTTGTTTTTTGCTAAGCCAGGGAGTGACCCCTCCTCCGCGCTCCACACCTGTCTCCGTGTCTGGCTTCCTCTGCCGCTCCCTGGTGGCCGTCCTGGCCCTGGGTCCCCGCCCCCACCAACACAGCAGATTCTGTGACCCTGTCCTGGTCCGGTTTAGCAAATGCTCTAATCCTCTTAGGCCAGGCCAGCCTCAGCAGAGCAGAGAGAGAATTAGATCAGATGTGGGGGGCAGGGAGGATGGCTGCGTGTGTGTGTGTGTGTGTGTGTTCACAGAGACTTTTAGGATATAATGAAAGCTCCTCCTTATTTAGCGGACCCTGGTAGGAAAATACACACAAAAACACCGAAACTCCACACCAGTCAGATTCAGACTCTGACACTGTGGGAAGAGTAGGGAGAATCTAATCCATCTATTGCAGGTGAGGGAACCCTGGGGGCAGGGGGGAGAGGTGGTCCAGTCTGACTGGATTCAGAATCACATCCTGGGGATGGGGGAGGGAGGGTGGTGCTCCTGGACCCTCCAGCCATCTCAGTGAATGGGAAAAAGATTAGTTTATTAATGAATGAAGATGGAGTTTGCACGGGCCCTGATTAGCTGAATAGAAAGTGAAAGGATTAAGTAGAACAGAATTCCTCCTCTTTTTCATCTCCTCAATTCTTTTTTTTTTTTAGAGACAGGGTCTGATTCTGTCACCCAGGTCGGAGTGCAGCGGTGCAATCTTGGCTCACTGCAACCTCCACCTCCCAAGCTCAGGAGATTCTCATGCCTCCGTCTTCTGAGCAGCTTGGATTACAGGCTTGTGCCACCATGCCCAACCTTTTTTTTTTTTTTTTTTTTTTTTGAGGCAGAGTCTCATTCTGTTGCCCAGGTTGGAGTGCAGTAGCATGATCTTGGCTCACTGCAACCTCTGACTTCCGGGTTCAAGCGATTCTCCTGCCTCAGCCATCATGCTTAGCTAATTTATTGTATTTTTAGTAGAGACAGGGTTTTACTACGTTGGCCAGGCTGGTCTTGAACTCCTGATCTCAGATGATCCACTCACCTTGGCTTCCCAAAGTGCTGGGATTACAGGTGTGAGCCACTGTGCCCCGCCTATCTTTTCATTCTCTTTATAGGTTCTTTGGTTCTTTTGTGGAACAAAACTTTAGTTTTTGTAGTTGTTATTGTTTTGAGATGAAGTCTCCGTCTGTCTCCCAGGCTGGAGTGCAATGGCATGATCTCAGCTCACTGCAACCTCCACCTCCCAGGTTAAAGCAATTCTCATGCCTCAGCCTCCTGAGTAACTGGGATTACAAGTATGAGCCTCGTAATGTCTAGACCTGGCCTGGCCTCCTTTACACATTTCTTTGTCCGGGACAGGTCTCTACACGAACTCACCAGTGGGGCAGCCCCACTGTGGCCACCTCCAACCCGGTCCTTGTCCTTATTTCTCAGGAGATTCACAGCTCGCAGGTCAGGCAAGAGCAACATGTGAGCCTGGTCACTGTCTGTGGAACGCATAATGCCCAAGCCACACTCTGAGGAGACAGAATCTGAACGGCCTCAGGTAAGTCAGATAACCCTCCCACGTGAAATCAACTCTCCCCGCGTGCCTGCAGCCCACCTCAGGACCACGAGCAGAGGCTCCCCGATGAGGCCACGGGAGAAGTGTTCTGGGTGATGAGCAATTAAAGCTGATACACTGGCTGGGCTTGGTGGCTCACACCTGTAATCCCAGCACTTTGGGAGGCCGAGGCCGGTGGTTCTCGAGGCTGGGAGTTTGAGCCCATCCTGGCCAACATGGTGAAATCCTGTCTCTACTAAAAATACAAAAATTAGCCAGGCATGGTGGTGGGTGCCTCTAATCCCATCTGCTCGGGAGGCTGAGGCAGGAGAATTGCTTGAATCTGAGAGATGGAGATTGGAGTGAGCCGAGATCATACCACTGTGCTCCAGCCTGGGTGATAGAACCAGACTCCATCTCAAACGAAAACAAGGCGGAGACGGGTGAATCATGAGGTCAGGAGTTCAAGACCAGCCTGGCCAAGATGCCGAAACCTCATCTCTACTAAAAACACAAAAATTAGCCAGGCATGGTGGCGGGTACCTATAATGCCAGTTACTTGGGAGGCTGAGGCATGAGAATTGCTTGAACTGGGGAGGCAGAGCTGCCGTGAGCCGAGATTGTGCCACTGCACTCCAGCCTGGGTGGCAGAGCGAGACTCTGTCTCAGAAAAGCCTGTGGTAAAAGAAAACTCAAAATTGCCTTACCTGATGGTCTGTTTCACAGAAATCCACCTGGATAAAATCAAGTGCCATAAAGAGAAAGATGTGGATGGTCAGTATTTTTATACCAAATGAGTACAGTAGCCACCAGTAAATTTGTTAGCTAAAAAAGGTTTTCAGGGGCCGGGCACGGTGGCTCACGCCTGTAACCCCAGCACTTTGGGAGGTCGAAGTGAGGAGATCACCTGAAGTCAGGAGATCAAGACCAGCCTGACCAATATGGGGAAACCCTGACTCTAAAAACAAAAAGAAGCTTTTCAGAGCCAGACCAGGTGGCTCACGCTTTCAAATCCCAGAACGTTGGGAGGCCGAGGCGGAAGGATGGATTGAGCCCAGGAGTTCAAGACTGGCCTGGCCAGCATGGTGAAACCTCGTCTCTACTAAAAATACAAAAATTAGCCAGTGTGGTGGCAGGAACCTGTGATCGCAGCCACTCGGGAGGCTGAGAATTGCTTAAGCCAGGGAGGTGGAGGTTGCAGTTAGGTGAGGTCGCTCCACTGCACTCCAGCTTGGGCCACAGAGCACGATTCCGTCTGGAAAAAAACCAAAAAAACAAAAAACAAGAAAATAGCCCAGACTGCTCTGAAATTCTTCTAAAGAAAATGCGTGACAGGAAATGAGTGAAGGGTTTTGTGGGTTTTTGTTGCGGTTACTTGGAGATGCAGTTGTGTCCCTAGAGACACAGTCGGATCAGAGACGGGGTTCATTCAGGGGCACCCCCCAGAACTGGGAGAGTCCTCGGCTTCCACAGTCCTGTTGTGATGCGCCATGGCCACCAGGGGGCAACAGCACACCACTGTTCCCACCAAGGGAGCGGCCAGGGCGAGCTCGGTCCTGGGGTGTCCCAGGAGCCACCTAGACCTGCTGGTTCCATACAGGAGACTTCCGGGTGGGATCGGGGAGAGACACCCACATTCAAGTGGGAGAACAGCATGGAAAAGGCACAGAGGCAACATATTTCTTCCCACGTGTGTAATTGAAGCTAAAGCCAAACAACTAGAAAAGACAACACTGTTTTTTGGAGATGGAGTCTTGCTCTGTCACCACCTGGAGTGCAGCGGTGCGATCCTAACTCACTGCAGCCTCTGCCTCCCGGGTTCTAGCGATTCTCTTGCCTCAGCCTCCTGAGTAGCTGGGATTACAGGCATGCCGCACCACACCCAGCTAATTTTTCTATTTGTATAGACAGGGGTTCACCATGTTGGTCAGGCTGGTCTCAAACTCCTGACCTGGTGATCCGCCTGCCTTGGCCTCCAAAAGTGCTGGGATTACTGGTGTAAGCCACCACGCCTGGCCAAGTTTTGTGTATTTTGTAGAGGTGGGGGTTCACCATATTTCCTAGGCTAGTTTCGAACTCTTGACCTCATGTGATCCTCCTGCCTCAGCTTCCCAGACTGCTGGGATTGCAAAGCGCATGGGCTGCCAAGCCCAGCCAACCCTCCTGGTTTAACACCCGGCTTCATCCTCGGTCCCTGGATCTAGTTTCTGATTTTCTTTTTGTTTGTCTGCTTGAGACAGAGTCTCACTCTGTCACCCAGGCTGGTGTGCAGTGGTGTGATCATAGCTCACTGCAACCCTGAACTCTTGAGCTCAGGCAATCTGCCCATCCCAGCCTCCCTAGTAGCTATGGCTACAGCCATGTGTCACCAAGCCAGGCTAATTTTTAATTGTTTCCTGTGGAGTTGGAGCTCTCGGTATGTTGTCTAGGCTGGTCTTGAACTCCTGGGCTCAAGTGATCCTCCCATCTCAGCTTCCTAAAGCATTGGGATTATAGGTTTGAGCCACGGTGCTGGCATGCCCCAAATCTTTTTTTTTTTTTGAGATGGAGTTTCGCTCTTGTTACCCAGGCTGGAGTGCAATGGCGCGATCTCGGCTCACCGCAACCTCCGCCTCCTGGGTTCAGGCAATTCTCCTGCCTCAGCCTCCTGAGTAGCTGGGATTACAGGCACGCGCCACCACGCCCAGCTAGTTTTTTGTATTTTTAGTAGAGACGGGGTTTCACCATGTTGTCCAGGATGGTCTCGATCTCTCAACCTCGTGATCCACCCGCCTCGGCCTCCCAAAGTGCTGGGATTACAGGCTTGAGCCACCGCGCCCGGCCCGCCCCAAATCTTAAAAAAAAAAAAGTGAGGTGGGTGGGTGGGGTGCCCATATGTTTTAAAAGTCGGAGGCAATTCCTATGTGCAAAGTCTGAGTACTGCTCTTCTCAGATCGCTGCCGTGGAGTAGACAGACTCCAGGGAGTTGATGTCTGTCATTATTAAGAAGACACCAGGGGGCGGGGAGCAGTGGCTTACGCCTGTAATTCCAGCATTTTGGGATGCTGAGATGGGTAGATCACAAGGTCAGGAGTTCAAGACCAGCCTGGCCAACATGGTGAAATCCTGTGTCCACTAAAAACAATACAAAAATTAGCCGGGTATGGGTGTGTGCCTGTAATCCCAGCTACTTGGGAGGCTGAGGCAGGAGAATTACTTGAAACCGGGCGCCAGAAGTTGCAGTGAGCCGAGATTGCACCACTGTGCTCCAGCCTGGGCAACAGAGCAAGACTCTGCATCAAAAAAATAAAAAAAGGCACCAAAACCAGGCACCGTGGTTCACGCCTCTAATTCCAGCACTTTGGGAGGCTGAGGTGGGCTGAACACCTGAGGTCAGGAATTTGAGATCACCCTGGCCAACATGGTGAAACTCCCTCTCTACTAAAAATATAAAAATTAGCCAGGCATGGTGGCGGGTGCCTATAATCCCAGCTACTTGGGTGGCTGAGGCATGAGAATTGCTTGAAATGGGGAGGCAGAGGCTTCAGTGAGCCAAGATTGGGCCACTGCACTCCAGCCTGGGTGGCAGAGCGAGACTCTGTCTCAAACAAAGACTTCAGTAAAAGAAAACTCAAAATTGCCTTATCTGATGGTCTGTTTCACAGAAATCCACCTGGATAAAATCAAGTGCCATAAAAAGAAAGATGTGGATGGTCAGTATTTTCATACCTATTGAATACGGTAGGCACCAGCAAATTAGTCGGTTAAAAAAGGTTTTCAAGGCCAATTGAGGTAGCTCAGGCCTGTAATCCCAGCACTTTGGGAGGTCGAGGCGGGTGGATCACCTGAAGTCAGGAGTTCAAGACCAGCCTGACCAACATGGTGAAACCCTGACTCTAAACAACAACAACAACAAAAAGGTTTTCAGAGCCAGGTGAGGTGGCTCACGCTTTCAAATCCCAGAACGTTGGGAAGCTGAGGCGGAAGGATGGATTGAGCCCAGGAGTTCAAGACTGGCCTGGCCAGCATGGTGAAACCCCGTCTCTACTAAAAATACAAAAATTAGCCAGTGTGGTGGCAGGAACCTGTGATCGCAGCCACTCGGGAGGCTGAGAATTGCTTAAGCCAGGGAGGCGGAGGTTGCAGTTAGGTGAGGTCGCTCCACTGCACTCCAGCTTGGGCCACAGAGCACGATTCCGTCTGGAAAAAAACCAAAAAAACAAAAAACAAGAAAATAGCCCAGACTGCTCTGAAATTCTTCTAAAGAAAATGCGTGACAGGAAATGAGTGAAGGGTTTTGTGGGTTTTTGTTGCGGTTACTTGGAGATGCAGTTGTGTCCCTAGAGACACAGTCGGATCAGAGACGGGGTTCATTCAGGGGCACCCCCCAGAACTGGGAGAGTCCTCGGCTTCCACAGTCCTGTTGTGATGCGCCATGGCCACCAGGGGGCAACAACACACCACTGTTCCCACCAAGGGAGCGGCCAGGGCGAGCTCGGTCCTGGGGTGTCCCAGGAGCCACCTAGACCTGCTGGTTCCATACAGGAGACTTCCGGGTGGGATCGGGGAGAGACACCCACATTCAAGTGGGAGAACAGCATGGAAAAGGCACAGAGGCAACATATTTCTTCCCACGTGTGTAATTGAAGCTAAAGCCAAACAACTAGAAAAGACAACACTGTTTTTTGGAGATGGAGTCTCGCTCTGTCACCACCTGGAGTGCAGCGGTGCGATCATAACTCACTGCAGCCTCCGCCTCCCGGGTTCTAGCGATTCTCCTGCTTCAGCCTCCTGAGTAGCTGGGATTACAGGCAACCGCCATCATGCTTAGCTAATTTATTGTATATTTAGTAGAGACAGGGTTTCTCCGTGTTGACCAGGCAGGTCTCAAACTCCTGACCTCAAGTGATCCACCCTCCTCAGACTCCCAATGTGTTGGGATTACAGGTGTGAGCCACCTCACCTGGCCTTTTGTAAGTTTTAAAAGCGTCCATAAATGCTATTCATTGTATGTGGTTGAACAGCAGAGAGTAAGAGAATAAAACTAGATTGGGAGTTACACTCTTTAAGGACAGAGTAAGAATAAATTGTGGAGATGTGATGACAAGAAATGGAAGCTTGATTGATCTGTAATTTTATTTCTTATTTT